CAGTACAGTACAGTACAGTATGAAGAGAGAGAACACTTGCTTGAGGCGACTTCTGGCATGGAGGACAGGAAGGCGGGTGGGGAGGCAATTATTGTTTGGAGGGAGAGTCCCCCTCCCTCCAGGAAGCCACGACCACGTGTCACAGCAGGGAAAATGGCCGTGGGTCGTGTTCATCACCTGATGCGGAGTTCGCGAACGGAAGCAAAATTTTGCGAATGGTGCTGTTCGTGAAACGAATTGTTCATGAATAGAAGCGTTCGTGAACCGAGGTATTACTGTAGTTGGAAAAAACCTCAGAAGTTATGTAGTCCAGCCCCCAAGTTGGTACAAGATCTACTAAAACATTTCAGATGGCTATCCACCCTTTGAATTCCTCCCTAATATCAAACCTGAATCTATTTCTCTGCATTTCAAGTTATTGGTTCTGGTCTACCAATGTCTCCTCCTTTCTTTTATGACAACCCTTTAAATACCCTGAAGACTGCTATCATATCTTCCCTTAGTCTTCTCTTCTGCAGGCTAAATATAACTCTGTGGAGTCTGCTCCTGATAATACATTCCAAAATAGCATTTGCTTTTTTAGCAAGTGCATCACAATGTTGACTCATGTTCGACTTGTGATCACCCAGATCCTTTTCATGTGTACTTTCTATCAAGCCTTATCTCACCCTTGTAATTGTGTCTTTTATTTTTTTCTCCCCAGATGAAAGACTTTACATTTCTTCTTGTGCATTTCTGTGCTTTATTGGAAATTGCTTGTTTTCATTGTGGTCTTTCTATACCATATATGTGGGCACTGTGCCAGCACAGTTGGGTCCAGCAACCCTGTCAAATTGTATCTTAGTCCTTCAATGATGTATTGCTTTTCAGTTTAGTATTTCAGTTAAATCCCTTATAGTCTTGAGGAAGTGGCCATGTTTTCTCTAAAACTGCATATTGTGAATAAAAAATCTAGTGGTTTTCATCTTGGTTTCCTAGCTTTCTAAATAAGAGACCCTTTGGACAGAAAACAAAGTTTTCAATCCATTAAAGGGTTCTCAGTCCAGAACTATCCTTTGCCCCCAAGGTTAATTCACTGTTACCTGTATCACAGGAGAGCTCTCTTATTTGATTTCATCCTAAGCTTTTTCAGCTTGGGTGTGTACTGCATTTCCACTGTTATTTGGATAGGACAAAGAAACATAAGGGTTAACAAAGCCATTTCATTTCATTCCAGTCTAAAGCCTTGAGAGATAAAATGTCTAATTCAGCTGTCTGTAGATGAGTTAAGAAAAGCATAGTCTATTTTGGTAAGCTATAAGGAAGCAGCCATCAGAGAATTGCAGCCAAGAAGGTGACAGATATATCTGTAGTCTTTCAGAATAATTTGATGTTAATCACACAGAAATTTTGTTGGCATACTCTCACATGTTTACTAAACCCTAAAAATACATATTTCCTCTTAAAACAATAAAGTCTTTAATAAAAAGGTATTGCAAAAAGTTCTAGATCAGTAGGGCTCTGGTCTAACTTATAGCTCAATACCATGACAATGTTCTACTACATCACAAAATAAAGAAACACTCTTGAAGGCAAAAGTGTTTTGTTTTGTTTTTTTACTATGAATATTGTCAGATTCTCACAGAGGGCTATACCCTTTTATGCTTACCTTCTCTTAAAATAGCAATGATCTCTACTTTTTATCCCCCAAATCGAGGTTTTCCATGTTTCTTTTACTTTGGAAGTGTTGATCTGAACTGTGGAATTTATATCCTCCATTAACAAAGTTCTCTGGTGGAGGCTTGCAATTGTTTAGTTAGTGTCTAAATCACTTGAATCTATGACTACTTCACTCCATTTATTGATTACAAGTCTTGGATGTGTCCCCACATAATAGTTAACTGATTTTAAGTGACTTTTAATCACTTAATATTTTAAATTATTCTTGAAGATTCATTTGATCCTGGTGGTTTAAAATATGATTTTTTTAATCTGTAGCATTTTTATTCCTTTCTTTGAGAAAAAAGGATGCTCAGGCTGCATTTGTCCATCATGCAAATCACAGGAAACATATTATACCCATACTTGTTGCACCAGATACGTGCCTCCCATGCTGACTGGTATTTCAATCATCTTTATGTTGCTGTTGCAGTCATTTTTATGGTAGCTGGCCTTTTCCCTACTTTTTATTTGAAAAACATTATTTGTTCAGGATAACTAGATTACAGTTGGAGCCACTGCACATAGGATGGGAAAAATCAGAGCCTCCCTCTACCCCCTTAATGTTCTCATATCCATGAGAAATTAAAATAGACTCTAGAGCAGTCAAGATGATGTGGCAGTTGTGCATGTGCTGTCTCTGTGTTGTCCCCCCCCCCTTCCTGTCTG